AGGATGACCCAGATGATCTGCATGTAAGAGACAAGCATTAAGCAAAGGGGTACGACTAAGAAAAACACAGAGGATGCAAACAGGACCACTTGGTTCATCCAGGTGTCAGCACAGGCCAGCTTGAGGACAGACAGAATTTCACAGAAAAGGTGGTTTACATTTTGGGGTCCACAGAAGGGCAACCTTAGAAGGAGAATTACATTTACCAGGGCCAGGATGAATCCACATGCCCAGGAAGTGACAGAGAGTACTGTGCACACTCTCCAGCTCATGATGACAGTGTACTGGAGAGGGTGGCAGACGGCCACAAACCTGTCATAGGACATCACCACCAAGATCATGCACTCAGTAGCAGCAAAACCCAAATACAAGAATGTCTGCATTATGCATGGAACAAACAAGATGGTTCTTTTCTGGTTCACAAGATTTGCCAACATTTTGGGGACATTGTTGGAAGTGTAGGAAATGTCAATGATGGCCAGATGTGAGAGAAACAAGTACATGGGAGTATGCAGTCTAAGGTCCAGACTGATCAGTCCCAAGATCATGCCATTTGCCAAGAGGCTGGAGATATAGAACAGGGAGAAGATCCAGAAGAGGAGCACCTCCATGTCTGCACTGAGCTTGAATCCCACCAGGATGAACTCTGTGACCCATGACTGGTTGCCTCCCATTCTTTAATGACAGTCTGTCAAGGCCTGGAGTGTGATAGAAAGGTCTGAACTGTAAAACAAATGAAAATTAGTTATTTATCTCAGAATGAGTTCTGAGAAATTTTGTATGCTTTTTCCTATTTAACAACTTCTCCAGCTTCCCAAGATTTGTAACTTTTCTCTTTTGAACACTTTATTATAAAATAAACTTTAACTTACAGTAATGTGTCAAGGATTAGGCAAAGTACTTTCATATACTTCGGTGCAGATCCAGCACATGCTCACATTTCCTTCATTCTTGTCTTATTCTGTTTCTCGCTATATACAAGAAGCATTTGGGATTAAAGTGTAGACAAGATGCCCATTTCACCCCAAATTCCTCATTTTCTCACCAAGAAAAAAGACATTCTCTAACTCAATGACAGTATAATTAACCAACTCAGAAAATTTAATATT